AGAGCGCCTCCCGCCGCGGCCTCCCGCGTCCCGGGGCTGCAGGCGCGCACCGCCGCGCCCGCCTGATGTTGTGCATGTGCCTGTGGAGTTTCATATATGTTTTTGCACATAATTTTATATATTATATGCTGTATATAGTGTTAGCGATTATATATAGTTTTGTATATCATGTATATAATTTTGTATGTGATGTATATTATATAGAATGACATATGCTTTATATATTATTTAACCTTATCGATAATATATAACTAACCTTATGTATAATTTGTATATTATATATAATGTCAGACAGATATACTTTCATATATATTGTACATAATCTTATTTTTTGAATGCCAACGAGGGTCTCGCTCTGTGGCCCGGGCTGGTCTCGAACTCATGGCCTCGGGCGATCCTGCCTCAACCTCGCAGAGCGCCGGGATTGCCGGGCGGGACCGCCCAGCCCTGCTTACCACGGGGTTAAGCACGTGCACAAACAGCCGCGCAGCTCTCAGGACGCCCCTCGCGCTCGGGGCTCTCTGCTCTCCGCCCGTCGGAAAAGCTGGAAGGTGCTCCCTGCGCCCGTCAGAGCCTCCTGGGCCCGGACCCTCCCCGCCACGCCTTGAACTTGCAGCCTTGAACTTAGCTCTCCAAAGAGAGACACGCCCGCGCCTCCCCCAGCCGGCGCAGAGTCGGGGCTTCCTGGGCGCCCTGCGGCTCTTCTGGGGGCGCCTCGTGGTCCCGCACCCTCCACAAGCCTCCCCCAGGACCCCCTGGAGAACAGGGGTACCCGCCGGCTCCGTGGCTCAGGCCTGGAATTCCAGAGTTCGGAGAGGCCGAGGAGGGAGGATCGTCGCGTGAGGCTGTGGTCGGAGACCAGCCTGGGCAGCACTGCGAGACCCCCGTCTCCGCAAAAACTGTCTTAAAAGTAGCTGGGTGTGGGGGTGCGCGCCTGTAGTCTTGGCTACTTGGGAGGCTGAGGCGGGAGGATGGCTGGAGCCCAGGAATTGGAGGCCGCAGGGAGCCACGATCGCGCCACTGCACTCCTCCCTGGGCAACAGACTGAGACCGTCTCTCATAAAATAGATATCGGTGCCCCGTCCTGTGAAAATGGATGATGTTAAGGACTTGGAAAAGTTTTCCCGCCACTGGGGTACACTGGCTCCCCGAAACTGAGTCACAGACGGTGCTGAATCTCCTCTTAGGATGGACTCCATGATTTCCACCTAGTTCTGTTGAGTTCCGTTTGGGGGTGGGGCTGCTTTAGTCAAAGCATGTAAATCTGGAATTGTTATCTGGTTTTAGTGAGTTGAGCCACTTATCGTGCGGGGATGTTGTCTCCAGGCCCCAATAACGTGTTTTATGTTTAAAAGTCCACTTTGTTCAATGTTCATGTCATTTCCCCAGCTTTCTCTTGGTTCGTAGTTACGGCTGAGGGATTTTTTTTTCCGTTTTATCCTCGACCTTCCTGTGCCTTTGAGTCTTTGGTGTCTTATAAACAGAGTGTGGCTGATTTTGTGTGTGTGTGTGTGTGTGTGTGTGTGTGTGTGTGTGAACCTTTAGCTTGTAAGCTTAATCCATTTACATGTATTGCTTATTTGTTTATTGGATTTGCTTCTGTTACCCAAGTTTTTACTTATTTGTTGCATGTTTTTGGTGCTTCTTATGGTGTTGGCATTCCTTGCCTTTAAAACAATTGTTTTTAATAATCTATTTCCTTATTCTGGTTTCTGTTTTTCTGGCTTAGAAGTTACAAACTCTAATATTAATTTTAGTGACTACTTTGAGCTTTACCTAGCATGATTAAAAGTGTCTAAAGTTAATATCCTAAACCCTTTTCCCAAGAGTCCAAGAACCTTAAAACATTCCAGTCACCCCTTTAACTTGTTCTCTAGTCGCTTAGTTATGTTCTTTTCTAAACTTCATAATATTATTGTATTGCCTTCGTCACCTAACATAGGTGGCATTTCTAACCCACAAAGTTTTTCGATTCGTGTAACTATTTCTTCTTGCCTGTCACACTGTCCTTCGGGAATCATTTTTCCTTTCTTTAATGATTGTCTTTCTTCTAATGATTGTCTGTTGCTAGGACACTGTCAATAGTGTTTAGCTGAAAATGCCTCTATCTCACCCAGATGGTGACATAGACAAAATAATTTAGCCGGGCTCGGTGGCTCAGCCTGTCATCCCGCACCTTGGGAGGCTGAGGTGAGTGGATTGCCTGAGCCTGTGGCTTCGAGACCTGCCTGGGCAACTTGGCGAGACCTCATCTCTACAATAAATCAAAAAATCAGCCGGGCGTGGTGGCGCGCACCTGTAGTTCTAGCTACTTGGAAGGATCGCCGGAGCCCAGCGGGTCGAGGCTGCGGTGGCCGGGAGCGGCCCCTGCACTCCAGTCTGGGTGACAGAGTGATTCTCCAACTCAAAAAAAAAACAAAACCAGAATTTGTGGGTTCACGGTTCTAGGTTGGCAGCTGCTTCTCTTCGCCCCTTGAAATACATGATTCTGTTCGTGCTATTGAGAAGGTATCTGTCATCTGATTTTTTGTGTGTGTGGTAATTTTGTCTTTTGCAGCTTTCAAGGTCTTTTCTTGGTGGTGCGTTTTGTGTCATTTTATACAGTTGCCTCTAATTGTGAATTTATTTTTATTTCTTTTACTAGGTATTTGATGAACTTCCTATATCTGTGAGTGTATTGATCGACCCTAATATTTTCTAATGGTAACTCTTCTAAAACCACTCTGAGACCCAGGCAAGGTGGATTCCTGGCCTGGGCCCATGCGTCCCCGCCGTACGTGTACATGCAGCAAGTTGTCCCTGGAGCCAAGTGGACGTGCCTGCCCAGAGTTGGCCTCCTCACCTCCAGACCATATTTCAGATCACCCTGAATCCACCCTGGATTTCTCTGCTCGAGGGGCCCCCAAGCCCACTTCAGATTTGACCTGGGACTCTTCCCTGGGCCCTTTCCTGGAAGGGCAGACCCTGTGTTGGCTTGCGTGCCACATGTCCAGGGAGCTGCCGAGGCACCGCTCTAAGCAGGGCATGGAGGGAGCCGGGATGTCCACACGCGTGGGTTCGAAACACATTGCCTCTGATTGTGGATTTATTTAGAGGACGTCGCTTCCTACTCTGCAGTTTTCCCGCACAGGACGCGAAGAGGTCCAAGCAGTCTAAGTTTGGACCAGGCTTTCTAGGGTTGCCACAAGGGAGTAATCATGAAAGCTGGAGGGCAGAA